TGAAAAGACTCCCGCATTAGCCTCAGTTGCAAGCTAGTTCCAGTCCAATACCGAGAATACGGTCTCTTTATTATCCAACTGCAGCGAATACCATCCAAATAACAGCACAAATATACAGCGATATTGTACAGTTATTTGTACAGTAGAAAACCTGTTTGCCGTCCAGGTCGGCGCGCGCACGCAAAACTGTCACACTCTCCCTCTTTTCATTGATAAATATTGACTACAGCAGTTGGATAATAAATCTCTTATAAGATGATTTGGTGTGTAGTATCGTTTTATATTTTTACTCGTTTGTATTTTGACTCGCCCGACGGGCTCGTCAAAATACGGCACAACTCGTAAAAATATACAGCGATACTACACACCAAAACATCTAATAAGATATATGAACATGCGCACAGAGCGTACTCGCTGTAACTAATGCTGGCTCATCCTCTGATCTCGATTTGCTGTGACCAAGAGGCTCGCCGCCTCTGGGAACAAGATTGAGTAAATTGAAACTGTGTTATCCATTTGCTCTTTACAACGCCAGGGTTTTAGTGCCGATTGTACACCGATGAGCATACACTTTACTCTTATAGGCGAACGGTCAGTTAATTCTGCTCTAGGTTGCCAGTTATGCATGGGGACTCAACTGCGTTATAGCTTTTATTCAAGTGTAAAACAAAACACAAACACACAAGAAGTGAATTTTATAATATATTTAACTGGCACTTATTTTACTTCCAGCTAAGCTTAAAATACAGGTTCTGTTCTCAATCTTTAATCATGCCAATGTTATTCTGTCATAACTGACACTACTTGTTATTTATGTCTCGATTCTAAATCCATGAAAGTCTATGAAGGGTTCAAGGGCTGTCTTAACCTAAGAAGCGAAATGTGACGTAACCATCCCCTTTGACGCATGCTCCTGTCTGCATTTCACCAGGAACAAACGAACCGCCACCGCCTGATATGAAGATGTCCGCAAAGCTTCCGTTAACACTTCCTCCAGAGTATCCTCCCCCTCCCCCTGGTAGAAAAAAAGATGATGCTCCACCTCCGCCAAACCCGCCATCACAGCAGAGATAATAAAATTGAGTTCTACCTCTTCCACCGTTTAGAAATGATTCGCCAGCACCCCAACCCGTGATTTTACATTTTTTACTTTGATTGAAGCATTCACCATCACCACGGAATCCTCCGCCACTGCTTGCTCCAACTATTTCCCTCCAGACACATGGTTCCACACAAATCAGCCGGCCACCCTGTCCAACAATGCCAAGCATCAATCCTTCAGCTTCTTCAGCTAGTCCTGGTCCACCGTCTCTTAAGCTTTTATAGGCCTCATATGGCTGCCCTCCACCCCTCCTGCAATACTGAGAGGGGTACTGTTGGAAGAAAAAAACACAGAAGATCCTCCACCACCACTACCTGCAAAGATTGGATAGTGCTGTTCAGTAACTTGGTGGCCCACAAACACGGTGAGTTTGGTTCCCTCCTGAAGATGGACTGTACCATTTACCCTCGCCCCTTTACCCCCGTATGATCCACCGCCTGAGGCACCGCTCATGTCAACGTGGTAGTAGCCAGTTAAGGGTGCACTCCACTGTTGCAGACCATTTGTCACGTTTACATTTTCAAGGGAGGAGCCTTTGTACCCGGTATTTGATGTTGGACCTTTCTTGCCAGTAGTGTTAAGTGTAGTGAAGTGGAACTTAGTTTCTGAAACAAAATGGCACGTATGTACGAGCTATTGAGCAAGTCTTAAAAGTCTCCCAAACTCGCTACTGCGACTAATTCACCTTTATCAACGTCATATTCATCAATAGCTAAGTGTTTCACTCCGCCCGTCGACGCAGCTAAAAAGTTTCACTTTGGATGAAAAATAATTAACAATTATTCACCGAAGTGGAGTTAAATATCCATCACTTTCACCGACACTGAGGTGAATAATTGTTTTAGTATATACCACACAAGCTGAATAATAAGCGGACCAAAACGTTATTTTATGTGTGACAAGCGGTCGGAAATTCTAAAATCTCTCGCGCCGGCTGTTCGGAGGTGAATAGTACTCGCTAATCACCTCCGAGTTAACCAATCAGAGCGCGCGAAAAGCACTATTCACTTGTGTTGTATATACTAAATGTTTCTATTGACAAAACTGGTTTTTGTCCACAGCTTTACTGCCAACTGACGGAAATGGAACAATGCTAAATTTTGACAGTGGAAGTTCTTAATTACCATATAATGGATTCTAATGCAGACTACCTCGTTATTAACTTGCGTTTTTAAGACAATACTTGTCTTCAGATGAAACACCATTAAGAAAATAGAAACTTCTTGTTCAATGTGTAATGACTTGTGCAGTGAGGTTTTCAGCCATTCGATTCATTGACAAAGCGACAAGCTTTTCGTCTACAACTCACAGAGAATAGCCAAATGCATCTCAGCCTAATGAAATCCTTTTAATCGGATAGTTCAATAAAAATATAAGCCGAAATGGTGTAGATTTGAAACGAAATGGCCGTTGTTATAACATTAGAACTCCAAGTGCTTTCTTAATGTAAGAGTTACTGCTACTTCTGCACTCTGCTATTCCTACCCATGTGACACATTATGTTTCTTTGGCTCGTGTCTCAATGAAGCTTATATTGAACACCGCGAGCGTTTGCCAAAAAAAAAACAAAAAAACAAATAATTGAGAAATACAACTCTTTTGAGTCTACCTACAATTGATATATGGAGGAGCCCCCGGCAATAGTTTTATTTTACAGTTCCCTTTCCTACAATTTGACACCAATTTAATAGAATTATCCAGCTTGTTACCCCTTTTTACTCCACATTCTTCTCCAGTCCACGGCAGTTTGGCAAGAACATGAAAACGTGTCTCTCTTCTCGTCAAACAAACAAGAACCACCATTAAGGCACCCAGTCATGAGGCATCCCTAATATCAAACAAACGAACAAACAAAAGAAAAGAAAAAAAAAAGCCAGACACAGGAGCAAAAACAACGAATTAAACTAAAACAAATTGTTCCAATTTTCTTTGCGAAAAAGACGTCCATGCTACAACAAGTAAGCACCCTATATGATTACCTTGAGATGCAAAGAGAAGGTACTGCCATGTTGATCTTGGAAGTTGCTGTCTTCGTTGACAGTCGAGATATCGTGCTTGTTTAGTTCACAAGTTCCTTTATCTCCACGCCCAGTTAGCTGCTCGAAGTTTGTAGAAGAACACCATGTGTTTCTCATACATGAATGGCTACAGGACATCAAACTGAGAGACTCAAACCGTTGAACAACGTGACCCATAAGCTTCTTGTTTTGCCGAGTCGTGAAGTAGGCCGATCGAGATAAAGAGTTTTCATCAACGGCGAAAGCCGCGACAACATTTAAGAGAATTTTGGGAAATACGGTAGGCAACCAAATCACTTTAACTTTCATTTGGAAAAGATCAGCTTTGTATATAACGCAGTTTTGGAGGAAAGTAGAGTAAAGTGTTACTTTTCCAGAAGAAATTGGTTTTGGGCTTCTCTTTTGAGCACGAATCCCTGTGCTGTCGAAATGAAAGCGGCAACAACCGTAAACTCGAGGTTTTATCTGTGTACTCAAATTAGTGCACTTAGCGCACTTCATCCAATTGTGAAACATTTTAAAGGTAATGTCACTGTCACAAAAGCAACTAACGGAAAATACCTGCCAACATCAGCTCCGTGGGTTAATCTGTAAGTAAACAATTCAGGTAAAAGCACGAAATTAAACTTCTGTAATTGAATGAGTAAAGTTCAGAAGAAGTAATTATAACTGGACTCTCTCAGTTTATCCAGGTTGCTAACCTGACTCGTCCCTAGTCGTCTTTATATAGCACACGGCAGCGCGCGAGGTGGAGGAGCAGGGGATGATGGGAAGGGAGAAGGGGAAAAGACGACGTCTTCCTCATTCATATTCTCCCTATCCATCTCATCTTGCGCTCCCTTTCTCGGTACCCATCTCTCCCTGCGCTGTAGCACTCCTGTATGAAGACGACTGGGGACGAGTCAGGGTTGCTAACTACGTTGGAGCACCGATGTGATGCCGTGACCGACATTCTTCAATCTTGTCAAAGCTATATATTAAAATCTATGGAATGGAACCCAGGTTTAACGAAACCCCGTTATATAAAAACGAAACAATTTTCTCAGATCAGTTTTGCGGCTTCTTGTGTGGGGGTTTCACTGCATATAAAAGTCGGGCTCTATTGTAATCCCTTTGGTCGTCAATGGAATGTGGAAGAAGAAGTCTGTAGGACCCTGTAGAGGCTGCATGCCGAAGGTTTTCAACCTTTTAGGAAATGTTACGTAGCCGTTATTATTCGATCTTTGAAGACCGATATTAATTTTTTTCTTCCTTCCTGCCTATGATTCTGTTTTCAGTCGTATCATTATGATTGCTCTTTCGCGATAATTGAAAACTAAGTAACATTTTGTGAAACTTTGGTTTGACCAACTTTTCGTCGACAGACTACCCGGGTGGAGTTAGTGGTCGACATGTTATTACTTGTACTCTATAGATATTTTCCCTGACTCCTTCTCTGATACATAAGAGGTCGAAATCATCGTCGGACCATTCAAGGTTTTACGAGGGAACTCGCTGCGCATGTCAGAGTGCTTATTTTGCCGTCGAATCCGCGGGTGACAAACACTGACAATGGCGGGTTGTTGACAACGTTTTCACAGGGTAGTAAAACGTTGTTTACCTTTTGAAAAGGAAAACTGCATTGTTATCGTTGACTATTTTTTCAGGCCAAGGCTACTCCATCGCAGTATGATCCCTCTCCTGTATTGTGAGGCTAAATTGTCTTGTCTAGAAACACGAGGCAAGGCTTGAACCCGACCCTCTGTTCCGCATTAACGGTTAGACTACCGTGCCCAAGGAAGGATGATGTAAAAGAATTTTAAAATATCAATTGTCGTTTAAATCCTCTGAGTCCAGTCACTCGTGCTCAAACGATCACCAACACTAAACAATTTATTTTAATAATTACTTTCCTTGAACACCCACGATGACCTGATCGTGTGTAAAATTTTTCACTCCAATAAATTCCGAGTTTAAAGGAACTGTTTTTCCCTTTGAGTGATTATTAATGAAAAATAAACAAAACCGAAAACCATGCAAGAAAGATTTATGTAAACTGGCATTCAGGAAAACCACTGATCTTATTAATTAGAGCGTGGAATCAAACGAGAGCTCAGAAAAGTTTGGTTTGATAAATTATTCAAGTTCATGATCGTAAATACAGTTCGTCTGAATAAATAAATAATATGATAAATGTTTCCTGTTTTTGAACATTTAATATTTTTTTCATTGATTCATGACATGTAGAGATCATTCCTCGCCCGGATTCCTTGTTCTTTTAGAATTTCGTGGAATGAAAGACGACAATTGTGAAGATGACATGGGTAAGAAAAAGTTGTATTTTACATCCGGGTTTACATAAAGCGGATAATATATCACAGTTATTCACTCAAGATGTAAAATAATGCTCATTGACAATTAACATGGTCAGTTTGCTCGTCGGACAAAGAAGGCTTTTTTCTCATGACATTTAATAAATTTATAGAAAATCAATTTGTACTGTTAAATACATGTGCAAAATCGTACCCAAAATAAATCCAAAACTATTCATTGGCCTGGGCTCGAGTAATAAAAAGTTTATGTCAATGTTGTCAAGCAAAGCACTTTGTAGGTCTTTTCACAAGGATCTGAATATTTTTGGGATGTTAAGTTCCGGGATATTTGGAAAATAATAAGACATTTAGAAAAGTTAGGGATATTTATATTTAGAAATATTCACACCCTTTTTGTATGAGCGGCTGGGGCGGATCTAGAGGGTCCGGGGGGTCTGGTCGAATCCCCTAAATTAAAAAGAAAAAAAAAATTAAGACGTAATGACACGCGAGCCCATCACCCTGCACTCAGAAGGCCGGAAATCCCATTTCCGAGGACCTCCATTTTAAGAACTGTCCCTGGGGATGATGCCTCCCTACCCCACTCCAGCCTTCAGGGCCTCACCCGGCCTCTAAAAGAGCAGGAGGAGCCCTGGGTTTTCCTGACTACTTTCTCAAATCTATGCCAGAAACAACCAACTTCAGCGGTTTCCGACTACAGATATCCCGACTACAGATATTCCATCAGGCACTCACGTACTCCCCAAATGAGCGACTCCAAAACAACGGATGCTGGAAATATCGCAGGGTCTGAATCTTCCTCTTCTGTTCCTTCTACTATTGCAAGAAAATTTGGAAATATCTGGCCTAAGTGATTCAAAATCAGTATATTTTTAAAACAAAAATAAGAGATATTTAGAGGGTTTATTGAGATATTTAGAAATATTTTTGTGATATTCAGAAATTTTTTTTAGAATTTCCGGAAAGGTACTTAGACGATTTTACGTGATATTTGTGAAAAGGCTTAGCACTGTGTAAGCATACCTTGGCAGTACACACAAGATCGATCAAGATAATTATTTCTCTCTTGTGACAGTGTTCAAAATGATCCGGACGAAATGATAGCTAATGAAAACGATTTTATAACTACCTCGAGATGAACCCAGGAAAGCAATGAATTTGAAAAAAATATCGCATAAAGGTTTCCTTAATTCTTTTTGTAATAATCATAGTGTGATTGTTCGTGTTTTGAAGGCACGAGTGCGATTTCTGAAAGGACTAAAAGCGTGACACTTAAGCCAGTGACCCAGACCTGCGTGACGTCAATGTCGCGTTCCTTTACGTCACGTTACACCCGATTGCGTTTGCGTCTGACAACCACAATACAGGTTGTACTCTTTGTATTGTTTACTAAGCGATCTCATTATATCCGAATGCTGTAGTAACTTCAAACACACATTGTAGCATGGACGACGTCTGCTTCTGTCTAAAGCTTCGTCGGTAGCAGGGTAAGCCATCGAGTACAACCAGTTTTAGTACTCTGACACAATTGAAGTCAGTTTGTTTCAGACAAAATTACGTTTGAACTAATTATTTATGGCTACTTGTAAATTTGAGAGATTATAACGGATAACAAAAGCACAATACGGTTCAGGAAAGTACGTTTGAAATGTATTACATAAAGGTTTAATCTGAGAAGAATAGTCTTAAACGATGCTGATTTATGGTTGACGGCCAGTTTGCGGATTCGGCAAATAATACCGACATTTGTTCATGTTTCACACATTGCGCGCGTTCTGTATTGGAAGCTAAGCTAGAACAGTCAAGAAATCAAGGTTTAGATTAATTTATAGAACTTTGTTTACATTGACTGCTTGCTGAATAAACCTCCCGGCCATAACATTTCAATGAACGGTAAGCTAAGGAAACACTGGGCCGGTACAAACGATATTGAAACCATCCCGCCTACTACCTAATGTCGAGCGCGCGATGCAAGTACGTAAATACGATATACTGCTGGTATCAAATAACTGACTGGTCAGATACAACATTTACTGGCATGTCTATATATTTCACTCTGTTCTATTAGCAAACTTAAGTAATACTGTAGAAAGAACAGAGTGGTTTTATTTAATACTAATTCATCAGTTGCATTTGACATTTTCTTTCTTTACGTGACCGTGCGCTAATGAAAACCACTTCTGCCTGCTTGAGGGTCAGTCACTACGTGATCATTTGTTATCGTGGAGACGAAGGAATTTTGCCATATGAATCCTTTCACTGGAAAGAAAAACAAACATTTCAGTTGTAAGAAGTACCGTTCAGCAGTGGCTTCGTTTATTTTTTGTTTTTGTGTCTCACGAACTAGAATACAAATCAGTCAAAATAATCAAAATTTGGAGTGAAGGGAGTTACAATAGCTGGAAATATCGGAAATTAAGCGGCCTTTGGAGCCACCAAATATTTAATTAACGTGATTAGTCATTAGGTAACTAAATATTTAGGGTAAACATTGATAAAAGCAACGTCCTTAACTCGCCAAGACTTCCAGATCTTTCTTTTTTTTTTTAAACAAAAATTTCCGATACTTAACTTTTGCAAGATGAAAGCAAGTCTGCCAAAGAGATGTACTGTGTGAATCTACTCGACTTTTTTTTCTATAAGAATATTGTTTTCCGGTCTAGGCTGAATATTCTTATTTTCTGCCGATTTTAGGCTGAAAATATTCTTGTGAATAATGTTAGATTGCAGTGAATGACGTTTCTGTTTAAGAATATATTGGGGTGTGAAGTATATATGAAATAATTCATATTTGAACTGCGGTCATAGTTGAAAGTGAAGAATGATCATCGCGGTAAATTTTTCCAATTTAAGCAATTGGAAAGAAGAAGCCTGAAAAAATCAGGGCTTCAACGGGATTCGAACCCGTGACCTCCGCGATACCGGTGCGATG